TCACTCTCTGAAACACTCATACAATCCACAGTGGAAAAACACAGTTATGTTTAGGGCCACAGTCAGGATCTCCAGTTTCTTTTTTATTTTAGGAATCCTCTATGGATCCAGACCAAGTATAAGTTATGTCTCCTGCCAATACCTGCCCAACAATTCCTCTGACAACTTAAGTAATCTTGATAAACCTTTTTCTCATATTTTTCCATTTCATAGTTGTTGCTCCTGATTCAACCTGAAACAAGCCATAACTTCTCTGTAACTGAGTCAGTTACTGTAGCGACTGAGTGAGGAATATCCACTACATGTAGCTAAACTATTCAGTGATAAGGGATTTCTTTCCACTATAATACATTTTTTAAACCAATTTTTTCCCAATCAAATCTTTTTATTTACCTCTAAACAATTGGGTTGATAATTTCAAAGAGCACATACAAGCTTTTTTTTTAAAGCAGGATTTTTGGAAAAGAAGAACCCTTATTGAGGTGAAGCCTTACTTCCCGCTGAAAGAGCTGGAAAAGATTATCCATGCCTTCCTAACATATCCTAAAGACTTCTGTGATGCTCTTCATGTCCCTCTACCGATTCGCTGTGCATCGTTCAAACTCTGTGAGAATCGAGCAGCACATCTTTTTAACTGAAAGGAAAAACTGTGAGCAAATAACTCCAGATTTGTCATTTCGCATCTGGCTTGTCGTTCACTTCTGAAATTAATTTCAAGCTTTGAGTGATTTACACCTGTCATTATTTAACTGGAAATATTAGCAAAGAAGTAAGGCTAATGACAAATCAGACAGTTTCTCACTTAAAGTTAAATTATGGATTAGTTTATATAGTTTAAGTTCAATACCTATACTTAAATCTAATCAGACTCTTGTTTTTAGTAGACTATACTACTATAGTACAATAAAATGCAATTGTTTTACATAATCTTCTTCCGTTTAACATCATTCTTTATTTCTATATTTTTTTTACTCTAAACTTATGTGTTTTGCTGTAAAACTCTGGCCCTTCAATGCAAATGTTCTACAGTATAAGAATAAAATGAACTTTGATGTGAACAGATCAAATATGGTTGTAAGGATAGAGGGACGAGGCTGTTTAGTAACTGAAGAAATTCTGGTTGATGAAACCCAGACACGGTTGAAACCAAACGGCTATTATCCGATGGTTGCAGCTAAAACAAGCTCTGCTTGGCTTGCTGCTCTAATGGATGAGTGTTTTGGTGGGGATACAGAACTAAATACACTATTATATAAAAGCTAAACATAAGAAAAAATAATCTATGATAACTTTTTTCAAGCATTTTAAAACACTCTCTCCTAAAGATGATTGAGAGACCGGATGATGGGCTGTGTAGACGAACACTTTGTATATTCGTGTGTATCTAATGATCCCAGCGTCGCCCTCTCAGTGTCTCCCACACCTCCCCTTCTCATTAGCTGTGACGCCTGAGTGGATTAACCGCACATGTGCACATCCAGCACGCACAGACAAACCAGGCACTAATGAAAGTAGAACCCATCAAAGCGAATCTGTGTTTGTGTTAAAGCGAGACAAACCATCATAAAAAAAGGATTTGTGCCCACCAGAAAGGCCTTTGTGGTAGCCGTGTTTCGGTGTGTGTCTGAGTCTCGGAGCAGGAGCCAACAAATAAAATCCACTTTGTTTTATGTATGTTTATGCTTTTAAACTGTGTGTACATTCAAAACATCTGGTTATTGTTTTCAGGATTATATAATGTAGTAAAACACTAAAAGGGATTAAATGCTGAAAAAAGAAAAGAGAAACCAAAAAAGGAAATGAAAACAAATGTGGGACGAAAAATGACTTATGAATAGAAAATAGATGAAGATTATATCTCTTTTTGATCTAATGATTCTCAATCAGACTGGTAGAAAGAGTGAGAGGAGAGCAGAGATAAATAAATATAAATAGGGGTGCACCGATTGCAGTTTTCCGGCCGATTTCCGATCACCGATCTTTAAAAAGTCTGCCCTGCCGATTCCGATTTTGGTTGATACCGATTTTATTATTTTTTTGCTATAACCAACACTGTGTTACAAGATCGCAATTCACTTTCAATGTTACAATCTTTTCTTGAAAAACATGCCCTTCAACAATAGCCTTGAACCATTATAAACTTGTTTTAACTGCCCATGAGGTAGAGCCTTGACATAGAAATGAATTAAATAATAAATATTAATTAAATAAAACAAACTTAAGACTACAACATTGGCCTTTTGATTTTTTACATTTCAAAAAACAAAACTTCAACAAAAGATCAGAAAAAATATGGAATAGCAACTGATCTTAAGACACTCGCGGAGGTAAATAGATCGGTGATTAAGATTGGTTTCATATGTAAATATCGGCCGATCACCAATCACCCTAAATTAAGAAAATCGGGGCCAATCGATCGGCCAGCCGATTTATCGGTGCACCCCTAAATATAAATAAATAAAAAAAACATATTACTGGTCAATCTATCTGTCAAACTCCTATATTACTTACACACAACTCCTATTATATACACTGTACTTAATCTGTATTATTTTTTGTATTTTTTTTTTTGGCTTAATTTTAACTCCATTTAACTTAATACTTTTCTGCCCTGTAAGCTGCTGGTAACCTTAATTTCCGGAGGGAGTCTTCCCCAGGAATCAATAAAGTACTGTCTAAGTCTAAGTCTAAATTTGCACACACAGCAATCAGAAACCACAGACATCCAACTAAGAATGAAGGTGTGATCAATTAAAACAGAAAATGCCAGAACACACCAAATCCGATTTTGCGTCCAACTCACAGAAAATCGTGTCGGACGAGGCCGTGGCATTTAGCGCTTGTTGAAAGTCAGTGGGGTTGATCACACCCGACAAAAATTTACGCAAGGGGGCTTGCATAGGTCCGACTGAGATAGACCCCATGTTAGTTTAACATATCTGCTTCAGGCAACGTAAAACATATCTTGATTTTCTTTTGCATCTTATTAAGCAGAGGGGCTGGACTTTAGCGGAGTTTGTAGCACTGTTCCTTTGCAGCAAGAAGGTTCTGGGTTGCATGTTTTCCATGTGCATGTGTGGGTTCTCTTCAGGTTCTTCCCACACTCCAAAATCAGGACTGTTAGGTTGATTGGCTGCTTTAAATTGTTCTTAGATGTAAGTGTGTGTCAGTGTGAATGCTCTCTGTGATGCCCTGAGGCAGACTACCTTTCCTTTCCAGGGTTCCTACAGCAAAAGGCAAGTTAAATTCAAGACTTTTTAAGACTTTTTAATGCCACGTGAAATAAAAATTTAAGACCGAATTCACAAGAAACACAAGAAAAACCCGCTTGCGACAACTAAACCCAAAGGTTTATTATAACATAAACCACTGCACTAATGTTTCAAATTTTGAAAAGCTTCCCATACAGGAAGAAACCTAAAAACACACAAATGACAGATATATTTTAACAATTATTTAACTGAATTCACAAACTTTGTTTTAGCAGGGAACAAAACAAATCAGTTTTAAAGCCCCAACATAACCAGTGCTAAGTCTTTTTTGCAGCTATTTTTCTTTGTATGGTTTTCTTAGTATGTTTGATTTGGTGATAAGTGGAGGCGTTGCAGAGACAAGGGTGGAACTAAACTGAGAAATACCGGCTGTTTCTCGGTAACTCCATTTTGACGCTTTGTGTTTCGCGCTTCGCATGTGCGACTCCACTGCCTTAATTCCCATCGTTCCGAGCTTGAATGACTTCTTGCACAAAATCCACTGAGCCTCATGTATGTTCCCTGGTTTTAGCCATGGAGAAAACTCTTGGCTGGAGACAATTTCCATTACATTTACACTTGCTCATATTTTCCAGGCAAAATGTAAATGCCGCATCTCCCAAATGTCCCGGCCGCAACAACGCTTTTATTGGTTCCGCTATCGGGACGGAACCAATAATGGCGAGCCATTTTAATTTTTTTTATAAAAAGAAAAAAAAAAAAGTCAATTTTAACGTTTTATTTAGATTACAAAAATAAATTGTAATAAAAATGATCCTATTTATGATGTTTTAAAAATTAAGACCTACTTAAGACTGATTTAAGACATTTTAATACCAATTAAGTCATTAGTAATTTTATTTTGAAGAATTCAATGCCTTTTAAGACTTTTTAAGGACCCGCAGGAACCCTGCTTTCACCCATAGGCTGCCGGAGATAGGCACAGGCCCCACCGAAACCCTCACAGAATCAGCAGGAGAAAATGTATGGATCTTTTACACAAAATAATAATCGTAATGAATTTCATCCTCAACCACATTAAGTTCACAAAACACACATAATGAAATAGTTGGTCTTCAGGGACCCCTCTGAATCTGTCCCCTTCAACCTCTAGAGGAAGAGTACCTGTTCTAAACAATCCACATAGAGTCATTTTTTTAATTTTTACATTAAAAAAAATGATAAATTATATAGTATATAAAAAAAAAAAATAAAATATTAGAACTGCTATTTTTTTAAAACATAAATCCTGTATTTCGTTTAATAAAAAAGTACAATGCAACCTCCTTTATTTATATACACAGTAGATAGCAGTCACTTCAGCTTTATAAGAAATTTTATGCTTAATTTCAGTTAAACAAGCCTAAAAAATTCAGACCATTAAAATAAATGCAACAAGTTCTTTATGCAAAAGGCACAAATATCAAAGCAGGTCCGTACTCCATCAGAAATAAATATTTCAGTTGTTTTGTTGCTGTTTATTTTCAAGTTCTTGCAGGAGCCCAGGGGTTATGTGACTTTACATAAATAAAAAAGACCTAGAGTTTAAAATCTAAACCATATGGATTCTAAAGACCACGATCCACTTTGTTAGTGAGTTAAAGCAATATGGGGAAACCAGGGGATGACAATAAGCGCTATGCCATGAGGAAAAGAGGACCTGACAAAGAATAGTAACTGTAACTAGTAACTAGTTTAAAACATGATGGATGAAGCAGAAAATAGGGAAAAAGTTATCTGTTCTCCTACCTTTCTTGACTTTTCTAGATGGTTTCTTCTTGATAAATTTGGTCATTTCTTGTGGATTTTCCACCTCCTCTCCATCACCAAGATCTTCTGCTATTGGCTCAACGCCTCCTGTGAGAAATGACAGCATCCATCAACAAACTGAGGGCTTCTATCACTGATAATATCCATCTCTATGATATAATATGTACACGCTTTTGATGTCACAGATGAAATAAGTGAAGCCCTGTGATTAAAAATAATGAGCATCTAAGGAATTTTATTTATTATCTGCAGAACCAACAAGCTGACACTGCAAAATACAAAGAATCTTTTCAAGTGGGTGTATTGTGAAACTAAAATTATACTTAGACCGTAAAGCATGATCCTTTAAGCTGCAAAAACCATTAGGTTGGTGAAAGAACTGGGCTTCAAAGTAAGACACAAAGCAATTTTAAAACAGTTATTTTAATTATGGGGACATAAGAAAGAAATCCCACCGATTTCTGGGAGATTTTAAAACCTTTCAACATCTGCTTTAACATTTATGTAGGCTGATCAGTTCTATTCCAGACAAAACATTTCTAAATCTGTCATTAATACTTTAGACATACAAACTAAATTATGATCTAAAATCTCTGTTTGCTTTCTGATCATAAAGACGGAGGAGAAAGTTAAAGTTTCTGAGATTTTTGCTCTTTCTTTGGCACACAGCCCATCTTTTAGCTAGTAAAAAAGAAGTCAATACTTGTTATCCAGATGTTCCAGAGTTGTTGTATAAGTTTGGGCATAAAACCGTATTTTGCAACAATGGTTATATGAAAACGACAAGGAATAATCATGACATACTATTTGAAACACTGAAAAATAATCAATTGATGCATTATGAATAAAATTTAATAGTGTAGCCTAGAGATG